TGGGAGTGATGAGGGTATAGTTCAATTTTTTGATGTTACTATATTTATATACTCCCAACAGTGATAATTCTACGCATCTATTTCACACATCATAGATTTTCCCGTACACTTGCCATAAAAAAAATATTCTCAGCAGGCGGATTGCGTACCTAACCGCCGCGATTTTTTTTTTTTTTTTTTTTTTTTTTTATATCGAAACAGCCGCGCAGGCAGAAGCCTAAATGCCGGAACACCGCGGCTGCTATGATGATCCCAAAGAAACCTTGTTAATACGATTTTTGAACTGCCTAAGGTTAGTAGAACCGGGAAAAGCTTCCTCCCGTAGATTGTTCCACAATCTAGACACCCTCGGGACAAAGGAGCGGTCGTATCGGCCAGTTCTGGATGTACGAAGTTTGACACGGCTAGGATGGGACGCCGAAGTCAAGCGGGTCTGTCTGGCAGGCACATCGCGCGGCGGCATCATGGAAGAGAGCTCTGAGGAGCAAAGCCCGTTGGTGTAGCGATAGAAAAGAGCTAGATCGCCGACGGCCCGCCGGTGCGAAAGAGTCCCGAGACTATCTGTTAGAGAAGAGTCATCGATCAGTCGGACCGCCCTCCTCTGGACAGCATCGAGCATGGACAATGTAGTCGGGGCGGCAGCACCCCAAATGTGTGAGCAATACTCGAGGCTAGGCCTTATCTGGGCCTTGTATAGAGTTAGAAGGTCATGCGGAGAAAAGTACTTCTTAGCCCTAAACAAATAGCCTAGCTTTTTCCCAGCAGCTGCAGCTATTGAAGAGATGTGTTCGTGCCAGATCAGGTCCTCGGTGATCTGGACTCCGACCAGCCGAAATGAATGGCTCTTTGGTAGAACTCGACCGTCCATCGAAACTGTATGAGCGCTAGGACGCTTTTTGTTCGTCAAAGTACAGTACTGTGTTTTGGAAGCATTGAACTGTACAAGATTGTTGCGTCCCCAAGCAGTGATAGCCTCCAGGTCTGTTGTCAGAGATGAAGTCGTCGCTAGTCTTCTTTTTTCCAGCTCAGCGGCAGAGATCGGCTTGTCACTCTGAATTCCTGCATGTAGAGTGCTGTCATCAGCGAAGCTGTGGATTGGGTTGATCGTGCAGGAAAGGAGGTCGTTGATATGTAAGAGAAACAGTGTCGGAGCCAAGACCGATCCCTGGGGAACACCCGCGTTGACGTTGTAGGATGAAGAGGAGAATCCGTCAATTACGACGGATATCTTGCGGCCAGAGATAAAGTCAGCCACCCATCTGCAAAGCTTTTCTGGGAGGCCGTAGGATGGAAGTTTGCTTAAGAGGGCAGCGTGCCACAGCTGATCGAACGCTTTCGTGATGTCAAGAGCAACGACATGAGCCTCACCATGAGACTGGATGAGTTTACTCCACAGTTGCGTGACGTAAGCTAGGAGGTCCCCTGTGGATCGTTGGTGCCGGAAACCGTACTGCCTGTCGCTAACCAAGCTGTGACGTTCGAGGTAGTCCAGAAGCTCGCGATTTATGCACCTCTCCATCACTTTACTTATAACAGAAAGCAGAGCTATAGGCCTGTAGTTGTAAGGGTCGGTTTTAGATCCTTTTTTTGGGATGGGCTGTACATGAGCAAATTTCCAGTTTTCTGGGAAGTTGCCGGATTCATAAGATATCTGGAATAGACGCGAAAGAACTGGAGCAAGCTCCGCTGCACATCTCTTCAGTACAATGGCAGGAATCAAGTCCGGACCAGAAGCTTTGTTGATGTCGAGCGACAAGAGCACTCGTCTTACGGTCTTATGCCTGAATGTTACCTCCCGCATAGTGTGGGGAACCCTTTGAATTGACGGCACTTGGGCGTTGGTGGGGACGTCCATGGTGGAGTTGGCAGCAAAGATCTTGGCTAGCACTTCCGCCTTGGCCTTTGAGTCGAATACAATAGTTCCATCCTGACACGTAAGCGGTGGAAGGCTACTGTGTGAGAAGTTCTTTTCGATCTGCTTGGCCAGCGTCCAGAAAGACCGACTACCATTGCGCTGCGACATTACCCTGTGCCTAACTTTTATATCATGCTGGGTTTTGGCATTGCGAACCGCTTCGTTATATTTGTTTCTGGACTCGACGTCGGCTTGTCTGTTCTCTACAGTGGGGTTTTGTAAGTAGGTTCTGTGGGCCTTGATCTTCTGCTGGCGAGCAGTGTCACACGATTTGTTGAACCAGCCGTTGGACCCTGGTTTAGGAACTTTCACTGTGTGAGGGATGTATTCCTCCATTCCGACGTGGATAATTTCGGTTATTGAAGAACAGACAGTCGACGCATCCGCGTCAGTGAATACAGACATCTCTCCAAGGAAAGCTAGAGAAGAAGTCTCTGAGCCCCTCCCAGTCGGCATGTCCGTAATGCCAAGTTTTGCGGCCTGTGCGAGTTTCTGCTGCCACAGCGGCTTCTGACCGAAACCTAACCTCCACAACACCGTGATCTGAGTTACCCAGGGGGAACAGGACAGCAGTGCTGTAAGGGGCAGGATGCGTGGTCAGAAAGAGATCCAGCAGGCTACTGGCGTGTGACGAGACGCGGGGGAAAAAAGTAGGGCTCATCACCAGCTGGGTCAGCCCTTGAGTAAGAGCGAACGCTTCGACTGCACGACCTGCTGCATCGGTCTTATTTGAGCCCAACCAAAGCTCATTATGGGCATTGAAATCACCGAGAAGAACTACCTCTGAAGCGGGGTGATTGATGTTCAGGAAGTCGATCTGGACGGCGAGGTATTCGAGTAGGTCATCCCAGTTATGGTTCGATGGAGAGCGATAAAGGCAGCAAATAAATTTGGGTGATGTTTTGGAGTTGAGGCGAAGCCACAGAATGTCCTTTCGGTCTGATTCCAAAGAAAGATCCCTGGAGCAGGAAAGACTGCTGCGGACAAAAGCCACAACTCCCCCGTTCTTTCTCAGATTGGAGTGCACCTCGTAGTTTGGGAAGTTGAGATGGTTAATCGGTGCGGTCTCTGAGATTTTTGTCTCCGCCAAGAAAAGCACGGCGGGACGATTGGATTGCAGGTAGTGATGAACAGCATCAATGTTGCTGTTGATCCCGCAGATGTTCGAAAAACAAATTTTATCTTCGATGTTGTTCCCTCGAGCCCACCCTCCACCCGGACACTCCGAGAGTGGAGTGAGTTTACGTCCGGAGTTTTTAGTGCTCGAGGGATCCATCATCATTAATTTCTTTGTTTTGGTAGATAACCGACTGCATAGCTTAGGTGTGGAAACATGCGGACATTTATAAGACACCCTGGGAAAAGCTAGCGGGTGGTACTGCCTCGGTCGACTGGTCCTTGTCTACCACCTTCTTTTTACGTGTTAGTGATGTTAACTAGACCTAAAGTGACCCGTTGGCGGACTTGTACCGCCACCCGGCAATCGGTACTGAGGTATTCCTTATCGCGTGCACAATCACTTGGACGGGAAGAAGTTGTATACTGGATACAACAACTTCCGGAACAAGCATTTGCCACGGCCCTCGCTCAGTAGGGTGGTGATTGCTTGAGTCCCTGCCGGCGTGCCGGTACTAGTAAGTGTTCTGGTATAACTGCCGCGCTACAAAACATTCCGCGCCACGGTGTAGTGTTTCCTATGCTGTGGCCACAATGTCACGTCTGAACGGGTTGGGTATCGGAGAGCAGCGACGTTGTAGGATCGACGCTTGGTACAACAGGGAAAGAATGTCTATGGAAGTATGTTTGACTGACTTTTTTCAGAGGGTCAAGCTGGTGCTGAACATAATCCATTATAAATCTATAACAGCGTTGCATGGGAAGAGTCAACCTACTTGTCGCCATTTTTTAATATGTAACTATCTTCCCACCAAAGTAATGACAAGGATGTGTATTAACCAACTAGTTTTTAAAAAACCCACATTTAGAACTAGCCTCGTAAATACACACGAGATAATAAAGTAATGGTGTGAAATTGATGCGCCATTAAAAATTGAAATCTGCTCTCATTATCACTCTTTAACAAGCTCGTCATTGCATGCGTTATGCACATCTTTTTAACTTTGTTTCATGCATCACGCAAGTGTGCTGCATCTACCATGACGAAATGTTATCAGATGTTTAAAAAACTCACTTCATATTCTACCTATTCTAGTGGCATTTTATTCATATAATATACGTTTTACTTGTAAATCGCAAGAGCAGAATTTGTATCTTGTATACAGGCTTGCAAAAAATGTACAAGTATGTGCCAAGAGTTCAACAGGTGTAGGTGATTCTTTGGACTAATCTGACTAACAAGCGTTCAGCTTTATTAGCGAAAGTCTATGATGCTTTAGGGATTGAAGCAGAACCAGAGCCCGCAAATTCAGGTTATGCTGCGTGATTATTTTATCCCTAGACAATCTTAGAGCTTCCGCTTCTTTATGAAGATATATTGCAGTCAACATTTTCGAAAATAATATTTTATTAGCAAAAAGCACATAAGGAAGGTTCTGAACAATGAAAGCCGTCCAAGGTGTCTATCTTTAGCTAGATTGTATATCATCCCCTCTTCATATAATGACGTACTCTCTCAAGTACACTAGTGTCAATCTTTGTCTAAAGTAATACCTCAAAGTTACTTTTAGGATAGGTTCATAGTGTTTTTTCCAGGGATCGAGAGAAGGTTCTTGGTCTATCCAACAACCTACATACATGTGTCAGCTGATGATAACTTACGATGAAATTAAGTATTTGAAAGATTTTCACTTTCTATGTCAAAGATATTTTCATATTACCTCTATCTGAAGTTTTAAGAATAGCATGACAAATTTGGTAGCTACTGATGGTATATATCTCAATGAGTTGGAAAAAAACGGGACCTGTACGCAAAGATGAGCGAGCAGATATGGGAGCAAACAGGGTTTCAGAAAGGGTGAGGATCTATAGGCACGGTTTTCGGCATGATAATAACTCATACCATTTAAATTTCCTTGACATTCGTATCTTTAGCCTACTTAAAACAATACATGAGGAGACTACTTACTGATAACGAATGCGATAATGTACTTCAGGAACCAATGGCGTAACTAGAAGCTATGTCCAACGGGTTTTTCATGAAGCTCGGATTGTCGTGATCTTAGTAGGACTTTAAAAGGCTTTCTCAAGAGGAGTTTTTTGCTTCTTCCATATAAGTACATAAAGATACAGGGGGTTGATAAAGTACCTGGTCATACTTTAAGTAAGGGCTGAATCCTATGCAGCTAATGCTTCGTTTATACAGGGTGTGAATCTTTTTTGATAATCTGATGCCCTGTAGAAATCGTAATAATCGGTTAGTTATTTTTTTAATTGTTGAAATGTAATAGCAAGAACAGACACACCAAGGAAAATTTTAATAAAATAAAAAACACGTCGATAAAAACTATCCCCATGCATCCCAAAAAAAGTAACGGATTTAAAGCCGGCCGTTTAATCTGCCATAACAATGCGTGATCCAGTGTTTTTCCTAAACGATTTGCTTTGAATTTTGTAAATTCGTAAATTCGGCTAAAGGGCGATTAGAATTTGTTCGAAAAAATGTATTTGCAAGGAGGTGACATTTGGGAACCTTTCTTCTTAGATCCGTCTTTAGAAGTTTGGCCAGGTATTTTATCAACAGTCTGTTCAAGATCCAAGGTACAAGTAATAAAATTCGGTGTATCGATAATAATTCTTTTCGTAAAGCTTTCAATGACTTTATATATAAAAAGATAACGCTTATTCTTTGAAGGAATTTAGGAGGTGGAAGAAAAACTTCAGTTTGAAAGTTTCACTTTACTATGCTCTGTATACGTAAGCAACCTTGAATCAACTTTGATAACCTATATAACATGTTCATTTCCACAAAGCCATATAAAAGTTTACTTTTGACACGGAGACAACATGATAGGTATTTATCATTCGACGAGGTCAGCAGAAAGCAATAATTTTCCAACAGCTCAATATGAGCAAAGAATTTACTAACGATTACATCATCAAGACAAAACATCCAGAAAACATTTTTAAGAACCGTGTACGTTTTGTCAAGCATGCGGATGTTGATAAAGGACAGGAAATATCTAATTTTAATGTTAATTATCAAATCTAATGCATATACTAGATAATAATTTTCTTTATTTTATCAATATTTATTTATTCGCTCAAATTGTTTTTTAAAAGCCATATAAATAGATATGAAATTGTTTTTTATTCCTATTAAAGATTTTTCATACATATTTGTTATAATGAACAGCTTAATTAACCTCTAGTAACAATTTTTTGGATGTTGTATGATGTATCACCAACGACTATGTTCCTAATTTCCGTTGGTCTGTATTATGTCTCTCAGCATGTTTGTCTTTTTTTCACTGTCGTAATCCCATAAACGGTTTGGATGAATTTCGGCGTCGTAAGTGATTTCTTTTCAAAATTTTTTACAGAGACGTTATGAGTTATGAGCAAAAAAAATTATTCTCATAGAAAATATTTTCATCAGTTACGTTCAATTGCATTCAGCTGCAAAGAATTAGGGATGGGTGAAGTACGGCTTCTCCTAGCTTGCTAAATATGGATGGATCCCTTTGAACATTTTGAAAACATTCATATTGATTGAAAGAAGTCACATAGGAGGAACATGCTTTGCTAAGATGATTAGATTTTAGCATATACAGTCGCCAGCAAGCGATATTTAGAAGCTGAGCTAAGCCATACTGCATGCAGCGCTAACTCTTAACAGCAAAGTGCAACTGAACCTTACCGATGGTACTAAGCCACAATATTACAAAATGGCACAATTTGCCCAAAACATCAAAAACATAATAAATTATTTCAACGATATCAACATCTGTCAACTTTGTGGTGGATAAACAACTACATATTTGACGGGTTCTACTAAAAAACAAACATCATCTAATTTTTGATGAAGTTTATCTAGTAACAGATCTTTTTTCTCCATTTTGAAGGTTATAATTTTAGCACTCAGTAAAAGTTCCTATTATGAATGAAGGATGAAAATAACTGTGTTTACAAAGCTTACATTCTTCCTAACACCTACCAATGTTCACTATAGTATAAGTCACATTTTCCCAAGGTCAAAAACAGATTTGCAGTGGGACCCCACATTTGGTCCGCTAAAAAGGACTTATTAATAACTATCTTTTTTCTCGATTACGACATTTAATCGTGGATTAGATTTTGATGAGACGCGTATTCCTTGATAAAATATGTGACTAAGCTTTAGTGTTGGATCACCTAAATGTCTTGGTCCAACCGGTCCTCAATGTTTCGTATGATAGGCGACAATCTGATAATTTTTCTTTAGTAGCTTTTTTATCACAAATCAAAGCACTCACCTACAAATCCAAGGAATATAACAGGTATAAGGAACAGAGTAACATTGAAGAGGAAAAGAGTCACTAAAAAATCCAACATTTTCTTCTCAGTCCCGCACTAGGTGCATTTTTTTAATGTAATGTTGCCCGAAACACTGTTATTCTGTAATCGTACAATTTTATACATGTACGTTAGTTAGCTAATGATACCATCATTTCGTTCTTATCACTTCAATTTGACCTTTTGATCGAATGCGAACGGTTTACTTACAACTTTGATTTCTGTCGGAAGAGCAGGGCCGTATTTTCTTTTTTAGTCTATCTATGCACTGAATTTGTGCCACGCACTATACAGGGTAACTGTAATGTCGCGTATTCCTGTCAAGGGGTGATAGATTAGGTCAAAAGCAACCGATTTTGTCCTATCATGTCTTATCCAAAAGTTAACCATTTTTGAGTTATTTGAATTTTAAGTTTTTATTCCGATTTCAGACGGTTAAAATTGAAATACAAAAACTGCATGCTTGATTTTGAGTTTTTTGTTATCGTCGCATAGCAGACATTCCAATAGTTCATAATAAGTAATAAAATGTTGGAAAGCTACAAACGTTTTAAAATTACGCTTTTTAAATGTATCTATATCTTTTTTTTTACTAACTTATTCGATAAAAAATGCAATTTTCTGTAAGAAATCTCCTAGTAATGAAATGTGCAAATTATGTAAATAATATCTCTATCTAACAAGCTTTCATTTGAGGTATTAAGCGTTCAATTACCTGAGGTGCATGCAGAGAAACAACAATGACACCCACAGAGGCTGGATTTTTAAGGAATTTGTATTACCTGTTTGAACAAGTCGTTACTGTCCTCAAAGGACTCGCATGCCATGATTGTTTTATGGCATCGGCTCGACGAGGAAGCGAGCGAGAAGAGCTGACTTAGTGGAGGAGTGAGAAAGCGAGAGCTGTTATTATTCATCATTGTAGTTACGCCATCGCCGCACGCCGAGTGAGAATTAGGTTTAGTTGGTATCAACTACTGCGTACGCGCACACGTTTTACGCACGATTATTATTTTCGAGTTTCCCAGTTCATTTCGAGTGGTTTCTTTATCATAATGGCAGACGCAGAAGATCCGCCAGGACCTCGCCATAGCGAGCACGGGCAAACTTTTACAAATGAAGAATACCCAGACATAATGTTCTGTTATGGACTTTGTAACGGCGATTCTGCAGCTGCCCACCGTGAATATCGGCAACGTTTCCCAAATCGCCGAACACCTCATGTTACTGTGTTTGACTCTGTGTACCGGCGCATCTGCCAAACCGGACGTGTTCAAAGGCAACATAGTGATGCTGGTCGACCCCGAGTCTATCCTCCTGAAGATGAAGAGGAAATCCTTCGTGTGTTTCAGGAAGAGCCTACTACGTCTACGCGCATTGTGGCTGCTCAGTTGGGTATATCACAATACAAAGTATGGTTTACTGTGCATACTGCAAGATTATACCCTTATCACTACACGCCTGTGCATGTGATTGAAGAGGGCGATCCTGCAAGACGATTAGATTTCTGCAGGTACATGTTACATGCAGATACAGAAGATCCAGACTATTTTAAGAAAATTATGTGGACCGATGAATCGAAGTTTGATAAGGACGGGATCACTAACTACCATAAGGCTCATTACTGGGCTGATAAAGAAGCTTTAAACCCCCGAAAAATAAGACCGACGGGGTCTCAGAGCCGATTTTCAGTCAATGTGTGGATGGACATCATTGATGGATATTTAATTGGACCTCATTTTCTGCCCGCCAATTTAAATGGATAAGTCTATGAATTCTTGAAAAATCACTTGTTTCCATTAATGGAAGACGTCCCATTGGCGACGAGACAAAATATGCGGTTCCAGCACGACGGTTGTCCCGCACCCTACAGTAGATTAGTACGGGCGTATTTAGACACTAAATTTCCAAATCAATGGATTGGCAGAGGCGGGCCCATTGCCTGGCCAGCAAGAAGCCCAGATCTCACACCGATGGATTACAATGTGTGGGGACATATGAAAAGCCTGGTGTACGATGTTTCGCCCGTACCAACGCGCGATGAATTAATTACAAGGATAATCAGTGCAGCTGACCAAATAAAAAGCCGCCTAACAACTAGAGTTACCAAAAGTGAATTACGTAAGAGAATGCGGGCGGGTATTCGTAACAGGGGATTACAATTTGAGCAGAATCTGTGAAATACTAAAGGAAATGTAATTAAATAAAACTGTAATTAAAATAAAAGCCTTTTATTTATCCTACGTAATTATCGTTCGTACAACTTTATTCATCTTTTTTAATTTTATGTCTTTGTACTTGAGTTAGTTGTAACTTTTATACCTCAAATGAAAGCTGGTTAGATAGAGATATTATTTACATAATTTGCACATTTCATTACTAGGAGATTTTTTACAGAAAATTGCATTTTTTATCGAATAAGTTAGTAAAAAAATAAGAAAATCATACATTTCAAAAGCGTAATTTCAAAAATTTTGTAAGTTTTCAACATTTTATTACTTATTATGAACTATTGGAATGTCCGCTATGCGAAGATAACAAAAAACTCAAAATCAAACATGTAGATTTGTATTTCAAATTTAACCGTCTGAAATCGGAATAAAAAATAAAAAAAATAAAATTCAAATAACTCAAAAACGGTTAACTTCTGGATAGGACATTATAGGACAAAATCGGTTGCTTTTGACCTAATCTATCACCCCTTAACAGGAATACGTGACATTACAAGTCACTCTGTATATGGTACATCTTTTTTCACAACTATTATGTTGAATGTAGTAGTTAATGTCACACGCGTGATCTGTACCTATAGAATGGTTTCAACGGAGGCGCTGCTGAGGGAGGCTGGAATCCCGCCAATTGATTTGCTAGCTGAGGAAAAATGCGTCCTCTATAAGAGGAGTGCAGAAGCTAAAAATACTGAAAGGGAGGCTGCTAGGGACGCGGCTAGCCATGGAGCAAGGACTATGAAACTGATTTCCAGACATTAAGCTCTGGATTGATAGGGGAGTTGTGCAGATAGATTTCTATTCTGCGAAGTTCCTCACGGAACCGAACGCGGAAAAAGGGACTACGCAAACTGCATGTATTGTTGTGGCGAGGAGGATACCCCCGAGCAAGTGTTAGTGACGCTCGGCGAGAGGCTCAATGTTGACAACTTTGCCAAGTATGTAGGCAAGGGCAAATGGGTTGAAATTCAACCAATAGTGAGGCAAATGATGCTAAGCAATGTATGTGGTGACAAGAGAGAAGCCAACAATAAGTTTCCCTTTCTGCTGGGTATGCACATATACAGATGGTAAAAATAGTTTGGAACACATCAAATATCTGACGAACGACTCATCTAATTTTTTTGAAAATTGGTAGGTTTAGGTTCGAAACTACGGCGGGTGGGTTGATGATATCCGCGATGTTGCGAAATCTATAGTTTTTCAGAAACTGATAGCAACTTTTGTTTTCTCCATAGAATGCTATACATTTTTCTCGATATTTGTATTCTGCGAGAAATTCTGAATACTTTACATTTGTCATACTTTGACGTAGACGTCATAGTTTTCGAAATACAATAAAAGGTATTTTTTCACCTAAGCAATGACCGGTATGGAAAATAATTTCCTACCAGATCGTCGATCGTCCTTTACATGTACTGTTATTTCAAATTTCCTCAAAACTTTCCCAACAGTAGACCTTGTTATTGGATTCCGGTTGATGTATTTGTCATTAAAAATATCTTCTTGCTGTGTGCGTCGACGATTGCTGTATCCTAGAATCATTAGAATTTCTATTATCTCGAAATTACTTTCGATACCGGTCATTGCTTAGGTGAAAAAAACTCCTTTTATTGTTTGAATAATACTGTTTGACCGCGAATATTTCGAAATCTATGTATCAAAGTATGTTTAGTAAAAAGTATTCAGAATTTTTCGCAGAATACAAATATCGAATAAAATATCAGTTTCTGAAAATCTGTAGATTTGGCAACATCGCGGATATTATCAACGGATCCACCGTAGTTTCGAACCTAAAAGTATCAATTTTACAAAAATAGATGGGTCATTCGTCAGATATTCGATGCGTTCGAAACTTTTGTTAGTCTGTATACATGTGGATGTATGGAGGGAGGAAACGGGATACCTTTGGTATTGAGTATACCGTATTTTAAAGAATCTCGAATCACACACTTTGGGCAGGAAAGGCTGGCAGAACGCATCTGTCTAGCTTTTCTGCCCGAGAGTGGCTATAAAAACTTTCTCCTGTAAAAAAATGACACAACTCAAAATGACACAAAACAGACATAAAAAGAATCTCACAGTGAGGGTACAGGTGTCACGACAGGGTTGACTGGGTTATGGTTATTCCAAAATCTTGTTGGCCCTGTATCTCAAAGAATAGTGTTAAAATAGTTCACTTGGATTTCAGCCCCATATGCAGGATATGTTTTCACATTTGTGTTCTTTGTCAAAGCTGCAAATCAAGAACTCGCTATAATATGAGAACTTTACCGACTGTGGTCCAGCGAATGTTTTTGGGTTAATTTCGGAACTCTAAATTCCTAACGACTATATACTTATGCATTATAATCTCATCAGGATACAATTAGTTTAGTTTTGCAGCTTGTTAACCAATTATCATATGTTTACTATAAGTAGACAACTGCAGAATACTCAATCACCCGTTACACCTTATCGAAGCAAGTTGAATACATGTAGTAGTCATTGTATACTTTTCACACAGTTGTATCTCTTATTTTGGTACAACAGACCTAGCTTAGCATTGATAACACTAAATTATTGTTTGACTGATGATACTGTTTGTTTTATACTCGACTCTGGGGGACTTCGATGTTTGCTCCAAGAAATCGGACAAAATTTACCTGAACAAAAGGAGTTTTCATCAAAACGCAATTAGCGACTGTAAAGAATCTTTATTAAACGAATCTTGGCTGTCAGTTTACTCTAGCTTTACAGTTGCTGAGTCGTTTGGAAATTTTTTTAATATCTTTTTGTACTATTTTAATAATCATTTTCCTTTACATAAAGCCTGTAAGGGAAACGGCTCAAAAAGTTGGATTACACATAACGTAAGAAATTCAAACAATAATTTGAAAGATTTATATCATACGTCACAAATAAATCCAAGACTAAAGTCACTGTATAATGATGCTAAAAAGGCACATACAAAATTGATCAGAGACACAAAAAGATCATTCTACTAAAACAAAATTGTATTGTCTAAAAATACGACCAAAGCGTGCTGGCAAGTGGTCAATGCAACTAAAAATGAGAACAAAGTTCGAAAAAATATAGTTCTACATAAAGATCAAAATGAAAAAGTGTACGACCCTCAGCTGTTGGCAAATATGTTCAATGTTTTTTTTTAAAATACTCCAGGTGATATAATACAAAAAATTAATACCTCAGATAGTGCACCTGATTTCAAATTTAATTTCAAAAATTATTTCATACGTTACCCTTATACAGATAATGAGCTCAATAACTTACTTTTGAAAAAATTAAAAAATCCCAAATCTTGCGGTTTTGATGACATTCCCAATTTTATGGTAAAAGAAGAACTACATCTTATAATAAAACCAATAGCACACCTTATAAATATCTCATTTTGCGGCGGAGAGTTCCCAAGTAGGCTGAAACTAGGCAAAGTTATACCAATCCTAAAAAAGGGGAACGAGCTTGATATGCCTTTTTGGATAGACTTCTTCTACATCTTAAGAACAACAATATTTTGTCTCAAAACCAGCATGGTTTCACAGATGGTAAGACCACAATGTCAGCCATACATTCCTTTTATGAGAAGCTTATAGAATACATCGACGCGGGCGAGTGCCCTACTGGGGTATTTTGTGATCTCAGTATGGCATTCGACTGCGATGAATCACAACAAATTCTCTGAAGATGTATTTGTGTCTCAAAAAAGATGCACCCGATCATTAGCAGGCATCTCCCCAACAGAAAGTTGCAAAAATATTTTATAAGTTTCAACATTTTAACTGTCCCTTCGTTGTATATATATGAATTGTGCTTACATGTTTTTAAAAATAATGAAAAATTCAAGCGGAATTGTGATATGCATAATTATGATACAAGGACTTGTAATAATTTATATGTAAACTTCAGCAAATCAAAAGCGGCATTTCGATCACCTAATAAAATTGGTCCGCTCCTTTATAATAATTTACCATGCCACATCACCTCGGTTAAAAATATTAACGACTTCAAGTTCCAGTTGAAGCAATTTTTGATAAACAAGTGCTTTTATCGTGTTGATGAATTTTTGAACATTGCAATTTGAGATTAGTTCTAGGTTTGTAGCGAACGAAAAATTGACAATTCCAATACAATTATATATTGTCTGTATGGAAATAAAGGTTATTGATATTGATTGATATTGATATTGATATAAAACAGATAATTTGAGCCCTCCGAGCAATCCTTCTAATAGAATGAAGGGATAACCTCGAAATACGAGTATCCTGTCGTCATTTTAATTCCTATTCCACTGGCGAGGAAGTATTTTAATCGCGAAAAATTTCTAAACTGAGATATTATGTTTTTTGAATGTTAAATCACGAAAAACTATGTCAGTTATTTCGGTCTGCCTGTTTGCCTGTCTGCTAATAATTGGCCCGTCGATAACTTAGATGTACCTCTCGAATTCTGATGAAATTGTGATACAGAGGTTCTATACCAAGGACGAAAGATCTTTGAAGTTTTTGAAAATCGATCAAGAGGCGCAGCTAGGGGCAAAAACATGTAAAAAATAAAAATCACTCAAATTCGTTTTTTGACGTCCTGGTCATATTCAGAAAAAATTGAATGTTTTAAAAATTGAGTGTTATAGGAGTGGGGGGTTAACTCTACTTTTTGATGTTAGTATATTTATACGCTTTGAACCCCAGTAATTTTATGCACCTATTAGACATCACACATCTCCCCGTAAATTTGTACTTGAAACTTACTGCTTCTTTTCTCTGTGTTCACCCGTGGGCGTGCCGATCTCTATGAGTGTCCTTCCATTACTGTTGCGGTGCATATTTACCTAAAAAATCAGTTTAATTTGCTCGACTCATTGGAAAAGTTTTTGGCTACAACATACAATAGTTTTCTTCTTTTCTTTTCTGAGAGCGTTGTCTTGCAATCCACTTCACCATTTTGCTCCTAACTCTTTGCGCGGGCACTCCTACAACTGGCTCAGACCGATGAGCTTGTTGGCTGATCCTGTTCGCCAGAGCGTCCGCCGTCTCATTGCATTTTATCCCATCGTGCTCCGGTATCCACATTATCGATACGGATGCCTCGCTGCGAAACAATCCAGAGCCTCCCTGCATTGCATTACAAGGCTCGAAGTAATCTTACAGGTACTTAGTGCCTTCATTGAAGCCTGGCTGTCGGAGAAGATTGTTATTCTTCTCACGGACTCTAGCGAGGGAACAGTGTGCATCCTCCCTTTCCCCTATATCCCTCTTTAACCCCTCGCTAGCCATCGGGTGTTTAGGTGGTTCAAGGATAAAAGAAAGTTTCTATAATTTAAATACTTCAAATAACTATTGTTAATTGTATGTTTCTACCATCAACAAAAAAGACTCAATAATGTTTATTGTATAATGTTCGAGGGGATGACAAGTTGAAATTCCGCCCTGTGTGTCACAAGGCCTTTCTACGTCACTGGGTGGACAGTGGCGCCGTGAACGGCTGTTCGTGATGTGCTTCGCACGCATGCAGTGCTTCAAAAATGAGCGCTAAACTGGTAAATTTGCAAAAATATAGTGACATAGATCTATCATCTATTACCATCGCATTCTGGCCAATTTAAATGGGATAATCATATTTAGTGGAGGTCCGCTAGATGTAAAGACAGAGAACGTCGGAACCCAGCTCCGCTGAAATGATTTTTGGGATTTTTCAGTAGAATGCATTTGAAATACTGTGCATTAAAAAGTTCAACTATTAATTTCATACGCTTTTTGATTTTCATTTGTTTTTACTCCTTGAAAGTTTCCATTTTCTATGTATAGATTATTTAGATTTGTAATGTACCAGCTGGTATCTCATTAAGCTGAACAAAAGGCTCATGTTACACTTATGTAATTTAAGGCGCCATTACTGAGGTGTTCTGGTTCATCTATTGCAGAGTTCCCCAAACTTTTTTGTCTCGTAGACCCCTTGCCATGTTTTTCCGTGTTGGGTAGACCCCCTACTTACCTGATATTGATTTCCTGTAAATTTCTAACTGTAGTGAAGTTTAGTGGTAAAAACTTAAAGAAGTAAAAACACATGTTAATTTATACATTTATTAATTGAATTTAAATTAAAACTACTCAAAATAAAATTTTGTATCTGTTATGTAAAACATACGTAACATTAAATAAACAGGTGTCTGAACAACAAGTGCCCGCATTGGGAATAAGTGCCCGTATTGAAAAAAAATAAGAGGGATAAAATAAAAAAAAAGTGAAAAATAATAAAAAAAAGTGAAAAATAATAAAAAAAAAGTGTTACTTAAAATAGTACAATAAGCGAGTTTGTTTATTAATTATAACATAAACGTATGTTCTACAATAATTTCACTGTTAGTTTGATTAAATTCCGCTTCTTATACGTTTAAGTTATCTAAAAATAGGCAAAAAATTAACGAATTTTAGTGTGTACCTATCGTTGAATTTTCAGAATAATTAAAAAAAAAAATTCTATAAAGGGGGGTTCTTTAAAAAAACAATGCGGGCACTTATTCCCAATGCGGGCATTTATTGGTCAGACACCAATAAACATAAAATAAACTATAAATAAAATAACATAAGCAGTAAGTCAATATTTTTAGTGAGAAGAATGAACCTGATGCTTTAATAATAAATTATCAACATTTGGCGTCAATTTTGTAAGGGATAATCTGAAATCTCCTCGGCTAATGATGTCCAGTCTGTTTCTTTTTTCGTTAGGAGATTGGTAACAGCGCTGAACCCCCTTTCCACTAGGTATGACGATGGAAAGGAAATTAAAAATTTCCTCGCTATATTCCATAATACGGAATAAGTAACGGGTATGTTGTTTTGCAGCCAGAATTGCTGATATCCGTTTTTAAACTGAACCTTAAGTTCTTCGTTTGTACTTAGTTCAGTCAGTTCCTCTTGTATTATGATATTCGTTTCTTCTATGTCACCATATGGATTAATTATCCACGGTGGTATTACCATAGTCAAAAAATCCTCAAACCTAGATTTAAAATCTGAATAGAGGGCATTTAAATGTTGAACGTAAGTTGAAACGTCGTCTTCCTGGCAGCTTGTCTGTGACAAATTGGGGAACTGAGAAAATTCGCCCCGTCCAAAATTTTGCTTCATTCGTTTCAACTCTGGCAAGAAACGCTGATAAGATGGACTTTGTTTTAATCAAATTTAAACTGTCGCCTTGTAATTGCAAATTAACCATATTGAATTTTGTAAACAAATCTGTTAAATAGGCGATGTCTGTTTTCCTCTTCATTAAATTTTCTTTTAAAATTTTATCTTTAGTATCTAGAAATTCTAAAATAGTCTCAAAAAGTGCAAAAAATCTTGTCAAACATAAGGCTTTCGACAGCCAGCGTACTTCAGTGTGAAGGAGTAATTGATGAAAGTGTTCGTCAAATGAAGTGATTCATGGAATCTAACACTCAAATTTTTTGCAACAAAATGTTGTCGATGGATGACGCAATGTATTGCTAACACCCCTGACACATTTTGTTTTAAATAGCTTATAAATCCACGATAACGTCCAACCATGGCAGGTGCTCCATCTGTAGCTATTGATATTATATTTGATAAAGGAATTGCTTTTTCAATGAAGTAATCCTTCAAAACATGAAATATTGATTCACCTTTAGTGTCGGTTATCCAAGTTCTTGCGAAGAGCAGTTCTTCGTAGATTTCTTGATTCATAATGAAACGAACATATGCCAATAATACTGCTGCATTATCAGGTAAAGTTGACTCGTCCAGTCGTATAGAGAAATGGGTCGTTTGCAAATAATTACATAAGAAGCTTTCAATATCAGAACTCATTTCATCAATACGTCTTTCAACAGTATTGTTGCTTAAGGGAATTCTTTTAATGATATCAGATGCAGGTTTGTGTAAAACAGTTTTTAAAACCTCTTCAACGGCAGGCAAAATTAACTTCTCTCCGATAGTATGCGGTTTTCCGGATTTTGCTATAAGTAACGAGATATTATAAGACGCCCGCAAACCATCATCATTTCTTTGTGACGTCGAAGCGAACATTCTGTCCAGTGTAGGTCTCTTCTGAAATTTATCTTTGAGTGTTTGAAAGTATTTCAAATCTTTCTCTGTTTTATCAATACTCAACACTGTACTGTCTACATTTCTTTTTAGATTCGGACATGGCATCAGTCATCTGTGGGCAAAATTAAATTATTTAAATAAGACAGAAAATCCAGCGGCTGTATATTAAAAATATTTTTTGATTTTTCTTGCAACAATTAGCTCGAATTACGAAGATTGCACTGTAATTATATTACGGATTGCTAAAACTTTCAAAAAGAAGCTATTGAGGAGTACTCGTGTAATTTTGCATGATTGAATATTCAACTACTAATAACTAAAGTCATGGTTGGCGTAATTTATCTATCTTTGCTAACTACGAGTACAAAACTGAAATTTAATAAAAAATAATGTACTTTCTCCAGCACTCTCAAACAAAATAACACTGACTCACTATAATTTGTGTGAGATACTATCTGTTTATATTTTTTAAAATATTTTCTTAGCACTTTCCTTTTCAAGATTTAGGAAACGAATAAACGTATTTGTCCCACATTCGTATTTATAGAGTGACGAATTGAACAAGTCAGTGCAAGGTAGGGAAGCTCTGAGACTGCGACTCTCAGGTTTTTACAAGTTCAAAATGTATTGCGGCCACAAAGCGAATACCAACATCCTACAACTTACACAATTTTATAAACATATATAATAAATTTTTTACTTCATAGGTACTTTTATAAATAATGTATATGTTTTGATTTTATAAGATAGTATGATGTAAGTAAATAGGTACTATACACTATATACAATTTTAGTTTTTTTAACTTACTTAATTTGTTTTGGTTATATCCGTCAATTATCCAAGGCGCGACGTTATCAAATTTTAACAAGATATTCAGGTATTTAGCTAAACAGGCTACTGCTTTCTTTTTTAGAGAGGTCGTGGGACTTTCAAAAGAATTTTGTGGCTGTAAACAAGTAACTAAAAATAATGCAATTCTCAGTTCCAGAAATGTCCCTGATTCAACCATATTTGATATACACTTCAAATGATATGGTGTACGGTCCATTCCTTGATAGTGTGGAACTAAAACGGGTTCAAAAGCTAAGAATTCTTGTCTGATACTGATATTTGGCATAAGGGGGTAGAAAAAGAGTATCCCACAAACTACCAGAACTGGGATGGTTGAATATGGCTCAGAGGCGTACCTTGCACTCTACTTCCTTTTTTTACAAGATTATAAAATATCTTCACTTAAAAATTAGTTACCGGACTGATGTACATAATCACACAATAAAGAATCATTTAAGAAATCATTCTCACATCAAATTGCCTTTTTGGCAAGCGATATTTGGGGCTTGTAATTTTTCGACCTCAGTGGAACTTCTATTTATTCTATTATTGCTCCTTAAGTCCATTGTGTTATATCTGGTCAATGCCAGCTTGAAAAAAACATAGAAAACGTTCAGAGTATCTGCGATTTAAACGAATTCAATATAGCAACATAAATAGACGCGAGATGCGGGACGTGTGGTATTGACTTTGAGCATCGATGGACGCATTTTCTGGACAGGCCACAGGCGCACCGCTAAACAAATCTCATAAATGTCTATTTCCAATTTAGACGTTCATTTAACGTAGTGCTTCGCTGCAACACCAACCCTGAACAAAATCAGTCAAGTTTTACACACTTTTTAACTTATTATTGATCAACAAACAGATTATAAATCACTTATCAAGTGCAATCTGTATAGCTAATATATTACTCAGATTTGTCTCAAGACATAATACCCGTATATTCGTATAAATCGTAAGAATTGTGTTGTAAACGTAAGTAATGTTAAAGAGGGACAGCGTTTTGAATACAAGGATTACAAAAAATCGCAATACTCAGTTCCTATAGCTATAACTATATAGTAAGTATGCCTCTGTTGCCATGATGTGTCAGAAAGTAACACAATGATGTTAGATTACAAAAGCAAGTGACAGATCCCCCCTAAATCCGCCACTGGTATCAGGAGCGGATCCAGTTGGTCGCCACACCCCGAATGCACATCTGCCTGTACTTGAATCCTGAGCTCCTCTCCCCCCAGCACTTTTCCGAACGAGTAACTTCAAATTCATCATAACTATAATAGAAAAAATAATAAGAATAAATGGTGTAGGAGAGAGTTGAATATTTATATGTGTAACCTTATCACTTTTCAATATAGTTTATAGAAATTTATTTCGAAAACTATTTAACCTACAAAAATGTCAGATGAGAACTGATTTTGCAACAGGGTAGGATTAAGGGAATTGAAGGGCACTCGCAAGTTCGCTTAAGATTCTTTCGAGTTGCTCTATACCTAAAAATTGAGATTCTTTATAGTAAAGTTAAACTCAGGATAGATTTTGCAATAGGGGCAAAGCAAGAAGCTTAAGTGCTATCACAAGCTTATACTTATTTACCTTTCATAACTAGAGACCAGAAAATTTGCAGAAAAGTAGCTTTTACATTTTAACATTTGGTTTAATCTAGCATGTTAATTTGAAATTTTTGGTTCTTTTAACAATGTTAATGTGACTTGATTACACACAACGGTTTTTCTTTACATTATATAGGTTTTTTATGTGATAACCGTGCCGACGGATAAATCTAGAGCGATCTAGGACCATTTTATGCTTTCCAGTTTGCATCTGTGTGTTTCACATCTGGATCATTTTTATAACTACTCTGAAATTGCTTATCAACAGGCAAGCGGATTTTTTTGTTCATTTTAAAGTCCCTTGATCATACCTTTAAAGAAGCCAGTGGCGTGATTAGTTAAAACTTGATAACCCGGTTAAAATTTGATAGCGCCACCCCCGGAGTAACTCAGTTGGATATAACAAAAAATAAATTCACTTAATGCGTACCGTCGGTACACAGAATTTCATCTTAGTCATTTGAGTAATTCAATAAACATTAGAAGATATGTCAATATCACAAGAACTGAACTTGAATACTCTGTATCCCAGTACACATGAACTTTTTGTTTAACTTAATCTGATCTACTAGCTGATATAGTTACCATATACATTAATAAACGAGATATTGAAAATGTCAAAAACAATTAAAAATAAAAAAGCAGGAAAACTGTAATATATAGTATTTTACACTCATTCCACTGAAAATCTCAGACATCGATTCAGTGGGTTCCGAGCTTTGAACTTAAGAGCACTCCATACAAGCTTTAAAGTGCCCATGGAAGCATTTGATCTTGTTACAATCGATGGTCGCTGATTGCCGGTAAGGAGAAAGAAATTTATTGAACTTAAATGAATTCCAGTAGATTCTCATATAGTCTCCACCTAAATGCGAACATGTGCAATAGGTTAGCGTAGAACACTTTTTGATTTCAAGTTAAGTAATGTTCACTATTCAATTTGTGCGATGAGTAACGCTCTAAAGGTACCAGCAGCATGGGCAGCATGCAATAAAAAAAAGTCGATGGCAGCTATGCGGTGTCGATTCGGTAGCAGAGCATACCGCACCGACAAATCAGAAAACGGCCTTAATTAAGATTTTGTCCGTTCGAAATCCGCATTGAATGGCATGCTGTCAGATATCGCAACCATGCTGCCACATCTACCGTTTTGAGTCTTCAGCTACCGTACTACTACACAACGCTTAATTTCCATTGCTTTTTATTGTACACGCTAACCCCGCCCAGGCGTCCGTGACCATTTTTTTCAGTAAAATGTAGCCTGTTGCTGTACCTATGTATCGTCGAAGAGCGAAGCACCCTCTCGCCCAGGAAGTACCGTCGCATCTGCTCAGAAAAGTATTCTGATTCGGTTCTTACATAATGTCATTTTTTTCAAAAAGGACCACTTTCAATAAACCTATATGTTAATGATTGAACAATTTTTCAGCAATTTCCGAAAATAGTTTTTTTCGCGCCAGGTTTTTAATGTTTATTGCGTCGTTTTGTGAACTTTCCTCTATAGTTTTTGATATATGGGAGATTAAGTATTTACAGAATTGCAAAATATGCCGTTTTCGACCCTGAAATTTTAATGTTGTCAAATTTCCTCAAACATTAATAAAGTCGAAAGGTGTTTTGGGGTGTTGTCATTGTAAGCCTTTGTTTTTAATTGTTAATCAAGCATGCACTCAATTTATACAGTGCTTTTCAAAAAGGTCCCCTCCACCTAACACGTCAAGTTAGCAACCAGAAATTCGAGGTAATGAAATTGATACATTTTAGCGTTAAAGTGGTACGACGCAATTTTGCAACGCTTTTTTTTAATAAATGGGGGGTCGTGTTAAATCTCCTTATTTGAAAGCTCCTTTATAGCCCTTGAATACAAAATCAGTATCTTTCAAAATGGCGGAGTGTCAACAGACTGTCAAAGTTGAACGTTTTTGTACATTGAATCGCTTATAATTTGACAACTGATCATCAAAAAATTATAGTATCTTGTATCAATTTTTTTAAGGCCCATCTAAATGTGAAATAATATATGAGCCATTCAGCTTAAAAAATTACAGATTTTTTTAAGCAGATACTCTACGACATATTCCAGTAAACTATTCCAAGAGAAGGATATTGATATAACAGACATACATTTTTGATTGCTTGGTTGTTGAGTTATAAACCACTCAATGTACAAAAACGCTCCAGATTACAACGCACTCATAAGTATGAGAACATCTCCAAATTCGTTAAAAAAAATGTTCAAAAATGGCGCTTAGCCGCCGTCGTGAAATTTTCATTTGCCACTTTTACGCTGAAAATGGTATCTATGCTACAATTTCAATACACCCGGTCAGGATCCTTTCGAAAAGGACAGCAAAGGGGGCAGCAGATGCATCTCTTGCGCTCACAAAGAGTATATCATTGAACGAACCATTAATTTGCAATAAAAAAATTAAAGAACAAAGGTCTAAAATGCTTAAGGATCTTGTTTATTAATGTTTGAGCTGTTATGAACTTTGGATACATTAAAATGTTCGTTTTGCATATTGTTTTTATGCTGCCCATATCTCAAAAGC